CCTAAACCCTAAAAACCCAAAAACCCTGAACCCTAAACCCTAAACCCTAAACCCAAACGACAGTTGATGTCTAAACGACCCCAGATCGGCGTTGCTGCGTTCGTGTTATCGCAACTGGGCGAGCATGGTTTAGGGTTTAGGGCTCAGGGTTCAGAGTTTAGGTTTTAGGGCTTAGGGTGTAGGGTTTAGGGATCAGGGTTCAGGGTTTAGGTTTTAGGGTGCCTTCGTCACACTCTTCGTCCACAGCCATTGGAATGCCGATATCTTGTGGCACGGTTCGCTAAACGGTGCTTTCGCCATCATGTTTGGGGTAGGTTTCTAAAGGAGGGTCCCGTTTGAGGGTGCCGGACTATTTTGGGGACCTAAAAAAAGCACCCTGGTTTAGAGAACTACCCACATGCGGGTTCAAGAACCTACTCCTTTGGAGGGCAACCTAATCCTCCTGCGGACCCACGTCGCAAGCACGATGTTATCACTGCAGGCTACAAGGGTTTCTTCCACACGTCTCTGGTAAGATGACAGACTAGACTATACTGAAGGGAAGTATACGATAATCTATTAAAACATACTGTAATCGACTATGATATCCTAGACTAGACATGTAATAGAAGACAAGACATAACATAAGATGAAATACTACAGGTCGGAATCCTGCATTTGAGAAAGACTCGTGGGGTTTTGCGGTAAGGCAAGCGCCTGATCGGTTTATGGTTTAGGGCTTTGGGGTGCTCCTGAGACATCGAACAAGCAACAGGGGGAGAGCTAGGTTCGGCTCAGCTGGTCGTCGCAACTTCTTTGTTTGCGCGGGTAATGACAGAACCGGCTGCGCCGAGTCACAGAGTTGGGAGGCTATGGTGCTTCTCGCCGTGTCGTTGCATGCATGTTGTTGCGACCATTTGCTGCAAAATGTCAGTACGCCTGACATCAGAGAGCAGCAAGACCGCTCTGCACCCGCCGTCCCCAGGACTCTACAAGAACCTTGTTGCTTCCTGCCTCGGGCAGACGTAGAATCCAAAACCCTCCAAAAAATCCCAAAATATCAGGCTGAAGCCCTGAACCCGACACGATCTAGGACGGAGGCCTTGTAGGCACCTGCTTTCCAAAGGCGTGCCTGTATAGCTGCTTGGAGGTGCAGCGGGTTCGAGATTCGGCTGCAGGAACGTTGCTTTAGGTTTGGAGTTTCAGGGTTCAGGGTTGGGCACCCTCAACCCTAAACACTAAACTCTAAATCGTGGGTCGCAGGGGCGCTGCAGTCTATCTTGGCCCTTGTGTAATCAGTACTTCGAGGCCCAGGGGACTTACTAAGTAGGTTATAAGTAGAGTAAAAAGTACCCTAACTGGAGTTACTCCAATCATAACCTACTTATAACCTACGTACCTCCAAGTAGATTGGGGGTTCCAAGATTGGTGAAGTCCTTCCAGGCTATACTTAGTATACTTGGAGGTTCATGGGTAGTTATAAGTAGGGTTATAAGTAAGGTAACTAGACTTATAACCCATACTGGGGGTTTCCGAAAATAGGGGACCCTAATATAGTACCCTAAATAGTAGCATCCTTATTAATAATTATAAGGACCCCAAAATAAGGTACCCCAAATTTTCGGAAACTCCCATATTAGGGGACTTATAACCCCAGTCATAACTACCCATGCACCTTCCAGGCTATGGCATCCACTTGACCCAGGCCGTGCCATGCTTCGGACGGTGGCGCATGATAATGCTGGGCTGCGATAGGGTTTAGGGTTTAGGGTTTAGGGTTTAGGGTTTATCCCTAAACCCAAAAAAACCCTAGGCCCTAAACTCTAAACCCCAAAACCCCAAACCCTGGCCTGAGCCCTAAACTCCCCAAAACCCCGAAACCCTAAACCCGAAGCCCTAAACCCTAAACAGCCCTAAACAGCCCTAAACAGCCCTAAACAGCCCTAAACAGCCCTAAACCCTAAGTCACCCTTCGAAAATCTGAGGGCGGCCGCCCTGAACCTGAGACCTTACTTGGAGGGTCGGGGGACTTAGTAAGTAGTTACTTTATAGAGTTATAAGTGCCCTAAAAGGGATCCTACTTGGGGTTATGATACTTATAACTCTATAAAACAACTACTTGGGTAGTTTTCTAAATTAGGGTCCCGTTTTAGGTCCCCAATATAGTACGGCACCCTTATAAAAAGGACCCCAAAAGGACCCTAACTTAGCAAACTACCCACTTACTAAGTCCTCCTGATCCTCCTAAACCCTAAACCCTAAACCCTAAACCCTCCCTGCTCCCCACCCAGCTTCCACGGCCTGGGCCACGGTGAAGCTGGTGGATTCCTGGCCGTCCACCTGCCGCTGCCTGTCTTTATGGCTTTCAAGAGTCTAGGGGGTTTAGGGTTTCGGGTTTAGGGTTTAGGGTTTAGGTTTTAGGGTCTAGGGAGGGCGTTTTGTTTAAGCCACCTTTTTCCCGGTCTGCAGATGCGGGAAGTCCCTGAGAGCAGGCTCTCAGGGTGCAGGGCTTCAGGTTTTTTAGGGTTCAAAACTCCCTGGGGTTTAGGGTTTAGGGTTTCAGGTTTTGTCCGGGTTCCTCTTCCCTGGGGTTTAAGATGGTTTAGGGTTTAGGGTTTCAGGTTTTGTTAGGGTTCTCTTTCCCTGGGGTTTAAAATGGTTTAGGGTTGAGGGTTTCAGGTTTTTTAGGGTTCCTCTGCCCTGGGGTTTAAATTCGTTTAGGGTTCAGGGTTTCAGGTTTTTGTTAGGGTTCCTCTTCCCGGGGGTTTAAATGGTTTAGGGTTTAAGGTTTCAATTTTTTGTTGGGTTCCTTTTCCCTGGGGTTTAGGGTCCAGGGTCTAGGGTTTTAGTGGGGTTCAAGGGGCAGGCCATCCCCCCAAACCCTAAGCCCCTAAACCCTAAACCGGGATGCTGATGCCTGCCGCGGCGGTAGTGGACCTGCTCTGCTGAAACCTGGCAAGGCTTCAGTCCGGTGGTTTAGGGTTTAGGGTTTAGGGTTTAGGGTTTGCTGTAGAATTGCGCATTGGCGGAAGTATCTAGCGACAGTGTGGTTTCGAGTGCATCGTAGTTTGACGATTCGCTGCAGCTTGAATGTGGAGAACTTCTTTTTTTTCTCTCTCCCACCCCACGCCGTCTCAGGCGGCCAAACCACCCAAACCTATTCCTTTTAGGGTTTAGCTCTAAACTCAGTCCATGGCTTTCTTCTTCATGGTTTTCTTCTTCATTTGAAGCTCGTTCATGGCAGGCCAGGGCAGGGCAGGGCAGGGCAGGGCAGGACAGGGCAGGCGTTTCCGGCGAGGCCCCGGACCCCCTTAAGCCCTTTTTGCGGAAGGGCCCAAAAAGGCGTTCAGGTACAGGGCCCACCGTGGGGGCTCCCATGGCTGTGGGGAGCGGGCAAGCGTATTGGATCGCTCTGCGCCATCG